TCTAAAGAGCATCGAATCTTCATAGCAAGACGAATACCAGGAGCATATGTAGGTGAGTTATAAGAGATGGAGAATATTCATAGTTCCTTAGCTTTTGCACAAAGATTTTGAAGAATAAAATCCCTTAAGTCTCCCATACACTTCATTCTGAGTCTTTTTAAATGTTTAGATGGCCGGTTATCCACAAAAATAGCTTTCATGAAACTGACCTCATACATTAACTAAGCGTTACAGAAGGTAATTTGGCAACAAAATGAAAAACAGGGTCTTTTTCATCTTTATATCCGTCAAAACCGACTGAAAAGGGGAAACGTTAATTGAGTTGTCAGCTTACTCGTTTGAGGAGGCAACTACTTGGTCTGAAATGAAGTATGATCATGTTGTGTCGGTTACTATAATAAGCCCATATAACTTATTCTAGCTTCTGTACAGGCCAATTTATCCATTGTATTTGAGTTATGTTTTGACCCTGTTAATTATTCACGTATCAACCCTGAATGTATTTATATGAGCGCACTTGTGTGTACACATCTTATCCTATTCATCACATGTCTGTAATTCATTTTTATTTGGCTATAAATATTGATTAGCGCTTGATTAAATGAAGTTGGCTCCCATGCCTTCTCCATTGAGCGTAATTTCGCTTCGCTCTCTTATATTCGCTTCATCCCTCTCATTTCCTGTTCAGATCAGTGAGTGTACAAAATAAAGCTATTCAAAAATCCATTCTCGTATTCGACTTATTTAATTTCGTTATCCACAACGCGATTTAAGTCGATGAAAAATACGAGGATAGCCGACATGTATATTTCGATGACTATCAGCATACAATCCAATTGGGTCAGATATAGGGCCACTAAGATCACACACATAGGGAGATCTAGCTGAACGGTATATCTTAGTACTGGAAATACTTAAAGTTCCTGACAATAAAATTTACAAAATGGCGTCATGTTTTGATGTATGACAGTGTTGGCAACTGAAGATGTTATCCCATTGAAAAACAGGCTTTCAAGCAACTCAGTTCTTCTCTTCAAGTAACTTGCTTGATGAAAAACTTTTTAAACATTAAAATTACGTCATAAATTTCATTCAATTAGTTCCCTTTATGAATTTAAATAAAGCCAAAACGAACATGGAAGCAGAATAATACGAATTCATTATATTTTGTGGTTTCGCATTAACTGCTTACAATCAAATATGTATTAGAATTTTACAGAGGTAAGATATAGTGTGAAACAGTTGACATAATCGAATGCAAAGAATTGGAATGGCAAGGGTTATCAATAATAACTATGTATATGTATGCAAGAACAGGTCAGAGGTTATTTGGTGTCAGAATGAAGAAAACATTAGTGATGCAGTTACGCAACCCACCGTACTAGTTGTTTTTTGTTAATTCCGTCAATCTCATTACCTCTAAAATCATTACATAATTTATCTTATCTGTCTTTGAATTTCACTCAATTATTACATCACCCATCCCTAATGTTTTCTTGATTCTAACACCAAATAATCTCTGACCTGTTCCGTAAAATCCGAATTCATTTTAACGGCTTTGTAGATGACCTAACTTTAGAGTTTGTTAACAAAGGATTTATTTTATCATTGTGTCTGTGATTCTATGCATGACTGTAAAAGCAATGAAAGTGAAGTGATGCTGAACAACCGTTTCGATCTAATTTAAACCTTTACATTGGCACACAGACATGACGATAAACAGGTAATTTTAGAACTTCATAAGTATATGATAAATATAATTGATGAGTTGGTTTCAATGAAATTCCATACGTTCAATTCAACAAAAATATAAAACTGGTTTGTACGTTGACAGTATGGAATTTGATCGTTTTCACCGTAAACTCGACTGGTCATAAAGCGTTACTTATAACAATCTGCATAGTTATTACAAAGATAAATTCATAGTAATGTCTTGATGTGTAGAACTGAACTGATGAGCTTGAGTACCCGACTGTCTTAGATTCTCTCTAGTATTGCCTCTCATAGGATAAATTTGAAAGCGATATAATCAAAGTACAATTTGTACAACTAAGTGCTTGTGTTCAACAAATAAAATAGAATAACATGAAAGCATAGAAGTTATGGATAAAAGACAATCCATGCTGTAGAAAATGTAAAACATTAGACCTATGAGAATATTGAAAAGCTTCCGTAGAATGGCTCTTATTTTACAAAAATTTCTCTTTTCATTTAAGGGAATTAGTTGTGTTGTTTATGTTAATGAGTACTGGAACTATGATACGTGTACATATAGGACAAAAACCATGTTTCATTCCATCATTTCATTAATTCAATAACATTAAATTATTTATTAAATATGTTTTTATTATATGTACACTTAGCAGTCCTACACAACATGATATCATATATCTATAAAAATTCAAGAAAATATTTCATCACAAGAAGATTACAGTCAGTGTTGAACGATAATGTTTTGAGAATAACCTTCACAACTACAATAATATTAGTAATTATAATAATGGTCAAGTTATTGAAGTCTGGATCATATGAAGTTCCTTCAACTAATCTATATCAAAATATGATAAGTGAATCCATAGAAACGTGTGAAGCATTTCTAAAAGACACAGTGACAAGCCCGTTAACTACCAAACACTTCGAAACTTATTCAACACGCAACGACCGTTATCATCTGTGGAATGGTTCGAAGTCTTGTGATAACTTCAAACAACTAATTGAACAACCTGTCTGGTTGAGTGAAGAAGAGAAATCATATCCGATTGCATATTCCCTACTAATTTATGATAATGTTGAATGGACAGCTCGACTACTGCGTTTAATTTATCGTCCGAACAATCTTTATTGTATTCATGTGGACAGGAAATCGCCTGAATGGTTTTATGAGGAAATTGTTAATCTGTCTCGGTGTTTCGGTGTTAATGTACTGGTAGTGAATCGATCTGAGAGCATCCGTGTAGTTTGGGGGCACTATTCAGTAGTGGAGGGATTTCTTGCTTGTGCTGAAATGTTATTAAACAATCCGACTGTGAAATGGCAATATTTGGTGAACATCAACGGGAAAGAATTACCATTACGAACGAATTGGGAATTAGTAGCTGCACTGAAAGCGTTGAATATGTCCAATATCATTGACTGTGCTAGAAAAAATGCTCCTGAAGAAAGAATACCCTTAAAACAACCGAATTTCGTTGTAAGTTTAATTTAAGCATGGAATGCATATACTTTCAATCATTTATTTCTGTTCACTGTAACTAAACTGAAATTATGATTAAGAAACTAAATAAATTTTGTGTTGGCAACGGAGACAAATATTTTTATGATCTCCACTGAAGTTGTACGTAGTCTTTGAGAAATATATGTATTCATGGAACGTCATGATGATGGAAGTTTGTTAGAGTTATTGGAATATATACTACACAGGCTGCCATTAGTCCACCATTCTTAGCAGCTGCATACGAGTGTGAAACAATTTACAAAAATATTCTTCAAATACTACTATACTACTCATTTACTTTATAATAGATCATTATTTAATATTAACTGGGTATAAATTTTATATCTTTGTAGATTTCTATGAGTTTAAATGTAATAAAGTGTGGTATAAAATGCACTCCAGGTGGGTTGTTTTTGAAAAATGTTAAATTTTTACTATTATAGAAAATTCCACGAACTATTGCTTTGTATGATCTAAAATGATATGACTATACTTGTATCTTCAATTCTGTTTTTTAAGCTTACTCTGTCCTATTAGAGTAGTTGGATTAAACAATCGGTTGTTTGTGGGAGCACATAAATTATATTTCGATAGTATTTTTTTTTACTATTATGGATAATATTCTATGTAAAACCTTCTTACTGACATAATTTCTGCAGTGACTTTCATTATAAATTGAAATTTGCAAAACAAGTGTTGGTCAACGGTTTCGTTTTAGCTTGTTAACACTGAATCTCACAATGTTAATTAATGATGCATTTATCAATACATACTCCTTAGATGTAAATTAAGAAAAAATTCCCTCGTGTAATGATTCGTATTTATTGATGATTTCATGATCTAAATAGGTATTCGTGTTTACCTGTTGTTGATATTAAGGACTGTGATTAACAGCTATAACGATCCAGCTAATAAATTACAAATAATCCAAGATATACATGCTAGATTCTATTGTAAAACACAATAAAAATACAACAGTTCCAACATTTGGTGTCAGTATATGACATAGATCATATTCAGATTAAACAGAGTTTTCATAAAATCATGTAAATACATATGATTTGTGTGATAAATAATTAAATTACAACCATCATTAATTGTTCATGATCAAAATGCTCAAAAATATGACAATAAGAGAAGGTTACAAAGAAAAAATATTTTGGGCATCAAAATATAAATGGCTAATAAACAGTGAATGGCGCAAATGTCGAAAACTATTCATTGGAAATTCACTTGGTATTGCTTGATTGAATCTTCCCATTGATGAGTAGGACTGCAATTGATCAATTTCTTGTTGGCATATGTGCATACTCTGCGTATTGCCACGATATTGCCTTGGTTCACAGGCATTATAAGAAAAGATAGATAGTGGATAGCAGTCGGATTCAGAATGAACATTAACTCTGAGATGCGGGTACATCCGGCTTCCGAGTCCTAAATAGAGTGAAACCCGCGTCTTGGATTCCACTGCTAGCCACTATCCATCTTTGCTTATATTCATCAGAACATTCACAAAATTGATTTTATAATGCAGACAGAATAATATAAAAGCTAAAAATAATGTCATTTCGATATTTCCAAAACATTAGTGATTCACATTTTTGATTAAAGTGACAGATAATGCACCCTATTCAAGTCAAGGATTTAACAGAACCTTAATTAAAATGGTTGTAATTTTTGTAGAAAATTATCGACTTTTGAATTTATGCTGATGTGTGTTAAACCGTTCTATTTACTTTAGATGAAGTGGACGAAGGGTAGTTTCCATGCCGCTCTAAGGCGAGACATGGTTGATTACATACTTCATGATAAACGAGCTTTAGAAATAAGAAAGATTTTTAAAGAAGAAGAAAAGTTGCCAAAAATTCCAGATGAATTATTTTTCAGTACATTGGCATACAATCCACAACTTGAAGCTCCAGGAGCATGTCTCACATGTCACGTATCGAATGGAAAGGATCCTCGTGCGACATTTGTTGCGCGATATAAAATTTGGTGGCCAGCTTATTGTGCATCGAGACGCATTGTTCGTGGTATTTGTATTTTTGGAATACAACATTTACATAACTTCACACAAAGAACTGAATTCTTTGTAAACAAATTCAATCACGGATTTCATGAATTTGCATATGACTGTTTGGAATATTGGATTTTTAAAAAAATGAAACAGGAACATTTGTCAGGTGAATTAGATAAAAAATTTAACACAACATTTTACAGCAGACTATTCTGTTCCAGTGATCACATTTAACAGAAAGAGTTTATTTAAGAATTATAATTACTGATTTATTTATGAACGGAGAGTGTTGAATTATCGCGACTATGTAAACTAATCTCTGGTTTTGTAATGGTAATAACTACATAATTTACTGATTACTCCGATTCTGTACAAAGCTTTTACTTTAAAATCTACAATCAGATCATACCGGGAATTTCATACTTGGTGATAATTTATGTATGTTGCCCCTCATGAAGCATAAGCTGTCGACCTAAAATTCAGAATAACAATTATCTGCGCTCATCTTTCCAATTACTGATAAATGCTATTTCTTCTTGTGATGTCAGACTCCATTTCATAGAGCAATTTGTGCTATCGTCTGCAAATTTTCCTTTAGCCTTGATGATTTCGAGTTATGACTTGCTTCCTAATACAGTTTACTGATTTCCGTCAGTGTGATCAATTCACCTACAGCATATCTCTCCGATTTCCCCTTCAGATGAAAGCTGATTTGTTTTCTGTCACAGTAGTTAGTCACAGTGTTATTGCTGATGGTACCCAGTCAACGGATATGGATTATCGTACCTAGATGGCTATTTGTAAACACCTATGTGTTTTTGATGATGATTGTGTTAGTTCTCCAAAAGTCATTTCCGTTTAGCATAACTGTCTTAACACTTGTATTGAAAATTCTGACTTTTGTGTTGTCTGACTGTTGTTATGAGTTCGAGATATTCTTCAATTGTAGGATCACTGATCTTGATTTTCCGATCCATGCCTTCACGTCTGCATCAGATCCCCCTTGTTTATGAATGTTACTGTCGATGTACTTGAAAGTTTCAATCACTTCCTTTGCTTCTTCATCAAGTGTGATATATTGGTGTCCACTGTGTTGTATTTCAGTATATTTTATTCGTATTGTGCACACTGGGGCCTATTTCTTCAGAAGCTGGTGCTAAAATGTCTGTTTTTACCTCCATTTGTTGCTTTGTAAGGCGTAGAATGACTAGGTCGTTTGCTAAGTTCAAACGGTCTAGCTACATTTAAGCTCTCTAATGTATTCCGTGCCTCTCTCGATCCGTGGAGTTCTTCAAAATTCAGTCAACAACCAGAAAATGGTGGAACGGTGAGAGTGACCAGCCTTTTTCCGACTGTTCTTCATTTGAAATGCATCTGTGAGCCAACCTACACTGAAGAACTTGCATTGCAGCCCGTCTTAACAATTCTCCATGATGGTGACAATCTTTGCACATACACTGTAGTGTTGAGTAAACTCCCATAAAGTTATTCTATCCACACTGTCAAACGCTTCCTCTTAATCAAGGAAGTTGATGTATAGTGATGAGTTCCTTTTAATGGATTATTCATCAATGATTCATAGTGTTGCAATTTGGTTGGTACACTACTGATCTTCACGGAACCTAGCCTGTTGGTCTAGAGGTTGAACGTTTACGGAATTTTCCCTTCGGTTCAACAACACTGTTGAAAATTTTACCTGGTAGTGATAGTAATGTGATGCCTCTGTATTGTTCATATTTGCTTAGATCTTGTTATAAAACATCTTCGAGATAATTAGTAAGGTTTCGTGTATTCATCGTCTTGATAACGTTTATCAGGTAACCCCCTACAGTGTATAAATTTCAGAAGGCAAGTCAAAGCGTCGACAACAGTTCATTATTATACAGTGCGAATGATTAAGTTTCAAGCTAACAAAGCGAATTCATAGTAGAGTGAATTGATAAGATTTAAGGTTATGTGTATAGGAAAGAAAGTGAATTATCGAGGGATTTAAGCAACTAATACTTCAGCTAGTAAGAGGGATTTTTGTGAAGTCTGCAACACGTGATCAAGCTCTTCCAGAGTTACTGCCGGTCCCAAGCCCGGGTAAAGGAGGAGGGTTAGGCATGGGGTTAGCGTCCACATCCCATAGAAAACTAACTCGCTAAAAAAACGCTTACCAGAAAAAATAATTCAAACCATTTTAACTCTGCCCTGGGAGTTAGAAGATCTTCATTTAGAAGAATTATGACGCTTCATGGTGAAAGCCGATTCCCCTCGGAAGCCACGAGGCCGATGCCCCTTCTAACAACCAGAGCAAAAATTTTTATAGGTACATGGAACGTTCGAACAATGTGGGAAACCGGGAAGACCAATCAAATAGCAATGGAAATGAGGAGATACAACTTAGCAGTACTGGGAATCAGCGAAACCCACTGGACCCAAGCTGGACAACAAAGGCCAAATACGGGAGAGATGCTGCTATTTTCCGGTCACGAAGAGGAAAATGCTCCACACACTCAAGGAGTTGCTCTAATGCTGTCCAAAGTAGCACGAAATGCACTTGTAGGATGGGAATCTCACGGATCCAGAATCATAGAAGCATCATTCAAAACAAAGAAGGAGGGGACCACAATAAATATTATCCAATGTTATGCACCTACAAATGATAACAACGACGACATTTGAGGTCAATTCTACGAGCGGCTGCAGTCAGTCATAGAGAAATGCCCAAGAAAGGAACTCACCATTCTGATGGGAGATCTAAATGCCAAAGTCGGAATAGACAACACTGGATATGAAGATATTATGGGACGACATGGACTGGGAGAGAGAAACGAAAGTGGGGAAAGATTTGCAAATCTGTGTGCATTCAACAAATTGGTCATAGGAGGCACAATATTTCCACACACGCATATACACAATGCTACATGGATCTCACCGGACCACACTACAGAGAACCAAATAGATCATATTTGCATCAACAAAAAATTCCGAAGGACAATGGAAGATGTGAGAACCAGGAGAGGTGCTGACGTAGCTTCAGATCACCACCTAGTTGTGGCCAATTTAAAACTGAAGCTAAAAAAGAACTGGACAAGTGGACAAACAGCACTACAAAAGTTCAATACGGCCTTACTTCGAGATACTGACAAACTCAATGAATTCAAGAAAGCTCTCAACAACAGGTTCCAAGCCTTACAAGATCTACTGAAGGAAAGAGAAACTACTATGGAGGATAACTGGAAAAGTATCAAAGAAGCATTAACTTCAACGTGTCAAGAGGTTCTGGGCCTAAAGAAACACCATCATAAGGAGTGGATCTCTATAGAAACTCTAGACAAGATCACCGAAAGGAAGAACAAGAAGGCAGCAATAAACAACAGCCGAACACGAGCAGAGAAAGTCCAAACACAAGTTGAATACATAGAAGCAAACAAACAAGTGAAGAGGAGCATTAGAGCCGACAAGAAGAAATACGTGGAAGAACTAGCAACGACGGCAGAAAAAGCTGCTAGAGAAGGAAATATGAAACAGCTTCACGATACAACGAAGAAACTATCAGGGAAATACAGTAAACCAGAGAGGCCGGTCAAAGACAAAGAAGGCAAGCCAATTACTGAAATTCAACAACAGCGGAACAGATGTGTAGGATACTTCGGGGAACTCCTGAATAGGCCGGCTTCAATGAATCCACCGGACACCGAAGCGGCACACACAGATCTTCCCATAGACGTCAACCCACCAACGAAGGAAGAAATCAGAATGGCCGTCAGACAAATCAAGAACGGGAAAGCAGCGGGTCCGGACAACATACCAGCTGATGCACTGAAGTCAGACATCGAAGCAACTACAACATACTTTACCTGCTAATCAAAAAGAATTGGGAGGAGGAACAAGTGCCGATGGACTGGAAAAAAAGACACCTCATCAAGATTCCAAAGAAAGGAGATCTGAGCAAATGTGAAAACTATAGAGGCATTACACTGCTGTCAATACCAGAGAAGGTCTTCAACAGAGTATTGCTGAACCGGATGAAAGATGCAGTAGATCCCCAACTTCGAGATCAACAAGCTGGATTTCGTAAAGATCGGTCATGCACAGAACAAGTTGCAACACTACGGATCATCGTCGAACAATCAGTTGAGTGGAATTCGTCACTATACATCAAATTCATTGATTATGAAAAGGCATTTGACAGTGTAGATAGGAGGACGTTATGGAAACTTCTTCGACACTACGGAGTTCCTGACAAGATTGTCAATATCGTCCGGAACTCATACGACGGACTACAATGCAAAGTCGTGCATGGAGGACAGCTGACAGATGCATTCCAAGTAAGAACCGGAGTAAGACAAGGCTGTTTACTCTCTCCCTTCCTCTTTCTTCTGGTGGTCGAATGGATTGTGAAGACCTCGACATCTGATGGAAAACACGGAATACAATGAACAGCTCAGAACCACTTAGACCATTTGGACTTCGCAGATGACCTAGTCCTCCTATCGCATTCACACGAACAGATGCAGATAAAGACAGCCAGTGTAGCAGCAGTCTCTGCATCAGTAGGCCTCAGCATACACAAAGGGAAAACCAAAGTCCTCAAATTCAAAGCAGAGGACAGCAATCCACTCACTCTTGATGGTGAAACTCTGGAAGATGTTGAACTCTTCACATACCTACCTGGGAAGCATCATCAATGAATAAAGAGGCTCAGATGCAGACGTAAAGGCAAGGATTGGCAGAGCAAGAGTCGCATTCCTACAGTTGAACTCAAAACAACTTTCAACCAATATCAAAGTGAGAATCTTCAATACCAACGTCAAGGCAGTTAGTTCTACTGTACGGAACTGAAACTTGGAGAACCACTACAACCACCATCAAGAAGGTACAAGTATTTATAAATAGTTGTCTATGCAAGATAATCAACATCCATTGGCCGGATACCATCAGCAACAGCCTTTTGTTGGCGAGAACAAACCAGCTTCCAGCTGAAGAGGAAATTAGGAGAAGAGGATGGAGTTGATGGATAGGACATACACAATACAAATCGTCAAACTGCATCACGGGGCAAGCCCTAACTTGGAATCCTGAAGGGAAGCGGAAAAGTGGAATGCCAAAGAAAACATTGCGTTGGGAAATAAAAGCAGATATGAAAAGGATGAAGAACAACTGGAAGGAGCTGGAAAGGATTGTTTGGGACAGGGTTGTATGGAAAATGCTGGTCAGCGGCCTATGCTCCTTCACGAGGAGTAACA